CCAAAAAAAAAAAAAAAAAAAAAAAAGAACCCCCCCAGCCATCCACTTCACACTATCTGTAACCAGCCACCCCTTCTTGGACAGCTCAACCAGCCTCCTACCTGGTACCCCACATCCTCCCCTGTCTCCTTCCAATCAATTCTCCACACCCTGGCCAAGGATGGGTGTTTGAAATGCAAACCTATTAACATCACCTGCCCAGGCGAGACCTCTGCTGAGTTCTCCCTCAAATCACTCCTGGCTGCCCCTCACACCCGTGCTTCAGCCCCGGGCCTTCTCGCAAACCGTCCTCTCCCCATGCTCCTTTCTGCACAAGGACCTTGCACAGGCTGTTCCCTGCAGAGTCCTGCCTCTCACCCTTCAGGTCTTGGCTCCAGTGCCACTTCCTTAGGGAGGCCTCTGTGGACCTTCTTAGGCTCTCAACACCTGATGCCTCTTGCGCGACTGCAGTCTTACGGTTCATACATGTGATTCTTTCATATGTTGGGCCCACACCTAGCACAGGCTCCATGAGGGCCAGCATCGTATCCGTTCCCACACACTGCCTTGTCCCCTGTGTCTGCACGGTACTGGGCACTTAGGTATTCAGTAAACATCTGCTGAGTGAATGAATGCCTGTCACCATCGCTGCCCATCTGTCGCTTACAGTCCGGCAAGGAAAACAGACGGCAAACAAGAAAACGTGCACCTAAGCCTCGCTAGCAGCAGTGTGTGGATGGGACCACACAGCGTGTGGTTAGAGAAGAGCAGGGCCACCCGCTTAGCCTTGTGGCAGTGGGGTGGTCTTGCAAAGACTTTCTGGGGAGGGGGCGTGTCTGGTGAGGTCTGAAGGATAAGACAGAGGCAGATATGGGCAGAGGGAGCCTAAAAATTGTATGGGGTGGGGGAAGGAAAGTGTGAAACGAAGTTTCAGTTGGTTAAGAGCTTTGCTGAAAGGAGGCTGAAAGAAGCGGCTGGGAGATGCAGCTGGGGAGGTGGGCAGGTCATGGCCAAGGATCCCTGTTGGCCTCCATGACAGCTTTGCTCCACACCCGGACCCTCTGCCTGCCTGACCCCTTGTCCACCCTCACCCGATGCCATCCACATCTGGGAGCATCAGGAAAGCCTCTCACTCAACACGGGAGGGGACCTGGGAGCCCAGCAGACCCCTCAGGAAGCCGGGAGAGAAGGGCCAGGACTTGGGTGAGGGCCAGCGCTGGTCAGAAGGGAGGACCCTCTAGGGGGAATTTCATCTCCTCGTTGAATCTAGCCAGGCTCCTACCTGCCCTGTATCCCTCACCCTACCACCCACACGGCCCGTGCCAATCTACCCAGCCAGTCTTGACCCTTAGAAACAAGTTCCGGCAGAGCCCCTCTCGGCAGAACCATTTCTTGGCACAAAATCCATGACAGATTCAAGTGGCTGAATTCTTCCCTTTTGGTCCTAGATTCTGCTGCAGAAAAATGTCTCCCTAACAATAGGCTTTCTCATCGGAGCTTCTCACATGGCGTTCTTAAACTCTGGCTCTCCCTTTATAGATGGGAAACAGAGAAACAGAAGGACTTGCCCAGGGTCACACAGCCTGGATCTCAGGACCCAGAGGCTCTTTGGAAAAACCCCGATAACGGAGATGGCCAAGATCTCCCCAGATGCCTTTGGCCTGAAAGGGCTTCAGTGTCATGGGGCTGAGCCCAGCTCAGGAGCCAAGCTACTGGCCATGGCTGCAGCCTCTGAGACCCGTCTCTGTTTTCTTCGTGTCCTGGGGGAGAGGACAGAGGGAGAACTCACCTCTGCAGATTCCAAGCCAAACAGAGGCTGCTATTAGTCAATAGAGAAGAAGTAACAAAACATTCAGGCCCTAGAAAGGGATGGGGGTGGAGTGGGGAATCGTCACGTACCAGGTTGTGTGGCCAGTCCATCCTGCGAGCCAGGCGATCGGCCTGCAGCTGCCACCCGCCTGGAACCCCAGATGCCTCCGCCAGGAGAATGGCAGCAACAGGACGGCGCGAAGCAATTATAGCTCGTCAGGGGGCTGCCGGGGGAGTGGGTGGGTGGGCTCGTCATCGCCTGGGAGCCTTGGGCCCCCAGCTGGCTGGGCCTGGCGCAGTGGCAGGCGGTGAGGGGCGTGGGGGCAGGCCAGGAGCTGGGACGAGGTGCCCAGGGGCTGTTGACTGAGGGACAATGCCCTGTGTGTCTGATGGGGCTCTGGCGGGTGGCACCTCCGCCTGTGGCCTGCGGCCGGCCGCCCAGCCAGCACCCACAGGGCCGCCTGAGACAATCGGCTTCGTTAGTTTGGGGGATGGCAAGGGGGCAAGGGTGGAGGAGGGACAGGCTGTCCGTTGGTCAGGAGATCAAATGTTCTCAGAGAGAGCTAGCCAGGAGTGGGACACAGGCCCCATCTCCCAGGGAAACAGCCTCAGGCACTCCGGCCTCAGCCAGCCTCAGGTGATCTCCGTGGCCCCAGTACACTGGTAGTTCACAGGAGGGGAAACTGGGGCCAGAGTGAAGAAAGGACTTGTCTAGGATTATACAATGGGTGAGAGATGACAGAGCTGGGGTTCGTATCTGGTCCCCATGTGGGGCTTTATCCACCACCCCACTCTGTTTTTCTTGGCATATCTTCTGCACAATTCTGGCCTGCTATGAACATGTTTCTGAATCTGTGTGCTGTCACGCAGGCCAAGTCACGGGTTCGTGAGGACTTCACGGCCGGTTGTCCTGGCCTTCCGGATGCAACGCTCCCCCTCGTGTAGAGAAGGTCTCCACTCCAAGGGCCTGCCCCTGTGTGGCTGCTTGTGACTTCCATTCTCTCTCAGCCTCAGTTTCCTTCTCTGTAAAATGGGAGTCGTACCCAGGAATCGACAGTGGCCTGGCCCATTTCTCCCTGAAATCTTTCTGAGTCTCAGTGCCCCCATCTCTAGGATGGGGAGGTCATAGTAGCCACCTCTCGGAGCTGCCACAAGGAGTAAGGGAAATAACCCATGTTAAACAACTGGCACAGTGCCACGTAGTATGTGCTCAATAAACACAGCTGTTTATTATGAACGTTATCATTATAAAATAATTGTATAATTGTTACTGGGAACGTTAGCTGTTCTATTAGCATCAGAGCAAGTACGGTTCTCATTGTTCAGCCAACTCTCCTTTCTACCCCCTCGGGCCCACCCTCATGGCTGAGAGACTTCTGGGCTTCACAGGCTCTGGGCACAATTTCATGAGCTCAGGTGACCCCAGGGTCTACACATCCTGGAATCACGGGCTGAACGGACCAGCCCTGCTGGTCTGGATCTCTCCCCTTGAGTGAGCAGCCCAGCTGAATGTGAGCGAGCAGCCCAGCTGAATGTGAGCGAGCAAGTCCCCCACCCCTGGGAGATGGAGGAGGGGGTGGAAGGGGGTGTGAAGAGGACAGGGGAGGGACACCGTGAACAGGCATCCAGGACTGCACCGTCCTACTCAGGGCCACCCTTGGCCATTTACAGGAATCACCGAGGGAAGAACGCAGGGTGCAAGGCGCTCCTGAATGTCACAAGATTAATCTGTCCGGGGCAGGTTTCCACAGCATAACTGAGAAGCTGGCTGAGGCTCGGGCTCATGAGAGATACCACCATATTTGGTCAAATACTAGACAGGGCTCTATTCTACCACTGGAAACTCCAGAGGGAGGGGGACTCTGAAAATACTTCCTCAAGTAACAAGGCCCCCAGTCCCACCCCAGGCTGTCCCAGCCCCACCACCACTGTCCTTTGAACAAGTGAAACAGCCAGCAGGAGGGGGCAAAGGATGGGGGCAACCTGGCTGTAACCTGTGCAGCCTCCTTGCTGTCCCTCTGCTGCTGCTGCCGGTGGAGTCCAACAGACACACAGCTGGGGTGGACACATCCCTGCATCCACAGAACGGTGGAGAAATTAAAAGATGGGGATTGGGCTGCTAGGGGGTTCCTCTGCTTCTCAGGACCCCTGAAAGCATCACACTCTCCTTACCTGCTGACGACACACACTGCTGGCTTCCGTCTCCCGAAGACAGGACTTGGCCGCCTCAGCTTCCAACTTCACGTAGATTCCAGGGTCCTGGGCCCAGAGTTCTGATGGGGTGGGCCCAGGAATTTGCACCTTAACAAGGCCCCAGTCTGGGAGCTATAGGGGTCCTCACCCATCCCCTAGCTCATTCCCTGCCCTACCACCATTCTACCACAAGGAGACCAAGGCCCAGGGAGCAACGGGCCATACCCAAGCTCACACAGCATGTCAGTGCAAGGCGGGGTAAGGCTGGTTTGAGCACAATTCAGTCTTCTAATTCTTACTAGTTTTCTCCAAACTTTATATATACAGCTCTGGGCTGGGCTAGGCATCTTGGCTGCTTACGAGGGAACCTAGGAGCCAGGCCAGTCCCTCTGGGAGTCCCAGAGCCCCCTCAATGTGGAGGGGGATCTGTGTGTACCCAAGCAGATACAGTGGGGAGTCAAGGATGGGCCCAGGGACCATCACTGGGTTTCCCATTCCTGGGCCATCTCAGGCTAGGAAGGAAGCCCATTCTTCCAGCCTTGGTTTATAGAAACCACTGAGAGGTCATCAGCCCTGAAGGATATCCTGAGGGTGAACCCTGGCCAACCACTTAGAGACCCTACCCCTCAGGTCAGAGCCAGGCCTGAGGGAGGCATGGGAACTTGGGCTTCAGGGGTCTCTGCCCCACAGCAGAGTTGGGGTCCTTAGGTCTTTTCTCACAGAAGGTGGTCAACACAGGGGAATGAGGAAAGGGGTGGATGGGCTGGAGAGTGAGTGTCAGGGAATGGTCGTGCTCAGAGCCACCAGGTCCGTTAGCTGCTGCCCAGCTAGGAGCAGTTCTGTACTCACCACCAGGTGGCGCCACCAGAAAGCCAGACACCTCCAAGGAGCAGGCAGACCCTGGCAGAACTTCCGTGCCAGCCACCCCTTTTCCCTAGAATGGACCCTGGGCTGAAAACGAGGGAACCAGGTAAGTAAAAGTCCTTTACCTGCCTCCGGCTGCCCAAGTGACCCTACTGTTGATGAGGACCAGTGTCCAGAACACCTTCCACATCAGATCAGGAACAGCACGACCAGCCAAGAGTGAGGGGGCAGAGGTGGGGAGGGTTGGGGGCTTCTGTCTGCTGTGTGAGTGATTCCCTTCACTTGGAGCACCTACCACGTGCTAGGCCCTAAGCATCTGGCACCTGGACACCGTAATTTTCAGAAAGAAACAATTAGCAATAATAGCTGCTGTATAATTCTACTTACTGACCACCAGGCACTGTGCTAAGTCCTTCATGTGCACTGTTTTATTAAATCCTTCCAACCACCCTGTGGTGAGGTTCTAATTTTATCCCGAATCTACGGATGGGGAAACTGAGGCTCAGAGAGCCCGAAGTCACAGAGCATTCAAAGCAAGTTTGTCTGATTCCTGCATGTGCTGTTCCCTGCTGTGCGGGAAGGAGAGGAGCATCACAGCCAGGAAGGAGGCAGGAATGTCCAGGAAGGAGGCAGCTGATCATCAAGGAGGATCGGTGCTTACCTCAACCTCACCCTGACATCTTCAAACCAGATCCTGCACGTCAGGGAGGTCACTGAGCCCAAGCCCAAACAAGAGTCCTCCAAGAGGATCTGAGAGCTCCCAGGGTGTGGGCATGGCACCCAGCAATGTTCCTGGCACACAGTAGGCATTCACTAAGTACTTGATGCATTGAATCAAAACAGCCGTATGTATGTGATACAGGGTGATGATGCTGGGATGGAGTGTGGGAGCCCAGAGCAGCGGGGACCCGGAGGAGGAGGTGCAGCTCAGGAGGTAAGAGTTCAGACTCCAGAGGTTGACAGACCTGAGTTTTAATCCTGCCTCTGCCAATTCAGAGCTGTGTGACCTTGGGAAAGTTACTTGACTTCTCTGAGCCTTAGTTTCTTCTGCACAGCAGAGATAATGGTAACTTGGCTCTCAGTGGATGGTCGTTGGGACCAAAGGCAAAGCATGTTAAAGCACTTAGCAGAGCGCTTGACAAAAGTAAGCCCTCAATTAGTGGCAGCTGCAATTGTCACTGTGATTATTAAAAATAACTTTTGAGTTGGGCCTTCAAGAGGATGCTTCTGGAGTGTTCCTAGGTAGGAGGTGGGCACAAGGATAGAACCAGCAGAAGAACATAGAGGTCCCTGTTACCAGTGGGCCCACCCTGGAGCCTCGGCTGGGCCAGGAAGACCTGAGGGATTCGGTGTAGAGATTTGCCCAAGTGGACCCAGTAAGGTCGAGGAGGCAGGAGGAGACTAGCAGGCGCCTCTACTGCAAGATGGAGGGGGGCTGTGGCCAGGAAGGCGCATCCTCCACTGGAGGTCTTGGCTCTCCTGCCGCACTGCCCACCCCACCCCACCCCCACCCCCTTGGGGTAGGAGTCCTTCTCCCAGGCCCATATTTGCACAAATGCCTCCCTCACTGCTCACTCCAGAGCCCCAGCCAAGAGGCACTATTTTAAGCTCCCTGGATGGGAACGCTGTTGGTGGGAACAGACCCAGCCAGAGAGCTCCCAGTTCTCAAAAAGGGCAAGGCCTGGGTGAATGGGCGGCCACTGGGATGTGCAGAGGGTCCACCGCATCCACATGACCCTCTGCCCAGGCCAGGCGCCAATACCTCCTCCCCCAGGGGAGCAGTCAAGGAAATGTAAGTTGAGGAGGACTGCAATGGGTGGGCTTGTGCTCTGGGGCTGGGTGGCCGAGGCCTCCCTGCCACCCAGCATCCAGCCTCAAAAACACCAAGTTTGTGTCTCTGGGTTGCGGACTGACGCTGGGGAATATCTTGTGTAGGAACCTCTTCTAAAGCATCTTTGCTAGACACGTCCAGTGTAGGGAGATCATTCATCTCTGAGGATGCACATCCCGCTTTTTAAAGCTCTCGATGTTGAACATAATAATAATAATGATAA